AAGATTCTTAATGTCTATCGGTAACGCGTCTCCGAGGTTGGCGCGATCGCCACGTATGTGTTTTGGGAGCAATGTCGTTGTCGTCATCCTGTGTGTTGCAGCTATGTAACCGGCTGAACGTGCTGAACGGGCGTTCACGTTCAAACGTGCACGTTCATACCCCCCGGGGCCGCGTTCAATCGCGTTCAAATGTGCTGCACGCCACGTGGCGCGAAAAAATTGAACACGACCCGGGGGGGCGCGCGCACGCATTGCGGACTACAGGGTGGTGGGCCTCGTTCAACGAACCCCGAAAGCTGTCTCTTATACACATCTAGATGTGTATAAGAGACAGCGCGCACGCATTGCGGACTACAGGGTGGTGGGCCTCGTTCATCGAATTCCGAAAGTGCGAAAAAAAACAAACCCGGGAGGCCTACTCCCCCTACCGCGTCACCCCCCGCCACATGTGAAGAGTCCTTTTTTTTTGGGGGGGGGGGGGGGAGTCCCCCTAACACGGCTCAGACGGCCCATGCAGGCTATCTGAAGGGTCCTCGCCGCCATGTAGCGCAGACCCCCCCACCGAAATCAAGGCAGGTAGTGAATGTGAAGTAGAGCACGAGCTGGCCGAATATATACTCAAGATTCAAATTCAGGTATCTGTTTCAACAGTTTATGGGTTGCTCACATAGCTAGGCCCTGCACGTGATTCTCAGGGTTTGGCTGCACGACTCACCAAATGTGCAAAACTAGAATGAATCTTCTGCAGAATATGGAATAATACGTCGCCATATGTTCTGTCTTTTGTGCATGTGGTGAGTAGAGGCCCTTAGGGCCACTGCACGTATTCCTAAGAAAAGAAAAACGAGAAAAAAAGGAAAACGAAAAAAAAGAAAAATGAGAAAAAAGAAAAACAAGAAAAAAGAAAAACGAGAAATTTCTCTCGTTTTTCTTTTCTTAGGAATACGTGCAGTGGCCCTAAGGGCCTCTACTCACCACATGCACAAAAGACAGAATATATAGCGGCGTATTATTCCATGTTCTACAGAAGATTCATTCTACTTTTGCACATTTGGTGAGTAGTGCAGCCAAGCCCTAAAATCACGGCAGGGCCTAGCTATGTGAGCAACCCATAACTGCTGAAACACAGACCTGAATTCAAATCTTGAGTATATATTCGGCCAGCTCGTGCTCACTTCATACTCACTACCTGCCTTGATTTTGGTGGGGGGGTCTGCGCCACGTGGCTGCGAGGACCCTTCTGATAGACTGCATGGGCCGTCTAAGCTGTGTTAGGGGGATTCCCCCACCCCCGCGAAAAAAAGAAAAGGACCCTTCACACACACACACACACACAGTCACACACATACACACACACACAGACACACAATTTCACACACAATTTTTTTTTTTTTTTTTTTTTCCATGCCTATTTCGCCTGGGGCATTGGCCCACAGCCCCACCCCAAGCACCGCCGCCGCTCCCCGCACTGCCCGCAGCCCCCCCAAGCACTGCTGCTGATCCCCAACGCCCCCGACAGGCCTCCCGGGCATGGGTGCCGCTCTGCGCGGTCGCGTTCAGAGCGTGCACCCGCGTTCTTTGAACGCGCGTTCAACGCGTTCAAAAACTGAACGCTGAACACCCGTTCAACGAACGCGCGGCAACACAGTGCTGCAGTGTGCCGCAGTGGAGGTAGTGTAGACATAGGAAGGGCGTTCTTGCCCATCGCATTGTTTGACATAGGATTTGTTTGGTTAATGTGTCAAGTATTCATTGCTCACGTGCCCCACAGATAGTCACTCAGTGTCGTTTCCGTGTGCTGCGGCGCATTTCTAAATTGTTCTTAGAAGAGCTACGATGATGTCGACCTTTTTTAGGGTTGTCAATGTAGATTGTCTTCACCGAATAGTGTTGCGATCCTAGACCGATGAACACGTTGCATGATGTGAAATGCATATTGTCGGTTTGTTTTTGTTTTGCATTGAGCTCGATCTTCATTTTGGAGGAGATTGTCAACCGTTTCAGGATGTCCTGCGTGAATGGAACACAAACGGATTTTTTTTAATTTTTATTTTTAGGGGAGGTTTCTTTTCATTTGTTTTTTTTTGCGAATCTTCTGTCCTTGTTTTGCTTTGTTGTAATCCTGGATCGTTGAAGCGTGGTCGGTTTGAAGTCGCTCTGTTACTTTTGTCCTTTGGTGATGCATGAAGCCTTATGGGGGTGGGGGAGGGGGAGGAATCCTTGTTTTGCTTTGTTGTAATCCTGGATCGTCGATGCGCCTTGCCACACTTAAAGCCTGTGGRGGGGGGGGGGGGGGKGGWTWTGRGCGGCATTGAGCGCKGSGKGTTTKGGGGGGTGGCAGTGCAGGGGTGGGTGGCAGGCTCTTTCGAGCACCGCCAGGGTCCTCCTGCACGCCGACATTCAACGTCGGACCAATGAAAGGATGACCTCCATTGGGCGGGGAAAAATGGTCTGCACACGGTCGATGAACGGGCAGGCTTTAGGTACCGCGAAGCGCATCCATGGTGTGGTGAGAGACTGCGCACGGTGCAAAAGGACAGTCTGGGCGCCATTCCGTACTGCGGTCCTTCCATTGCCACGGCTCCAGAGGTGCCTCGTGTGAACTGCCCTCTCGCTGTACGCCCCTGCATCCCGTTCGACGCTCCGATCCGCCACGTCGTCTGCTCTCACTTTCTGGTGGACATTTGTCGTCGCCATCCTCGAACCTCCTCTGTGGCCAGTGCCCACTGCACCGTAGTACACGCTGTCCACGTCCTTCCTTTCCGCCGACCGTTGAACGTCGATGTTCATGTGCCCTTCGTGTGCGTCCGCGTCGCACCTCAGCGCACCTTCATCGGCCACGTAGCAAGGGGACTGAAGTTGGGTCCAAATGGCACCCTGGGGCGCGCCAGGAAAGGGCAGGAGAGATAGAGGTCCTGGTGAGGGGGGGGAAGGCCAGAAAGGTCGAGGCCACGGGCCCAAGTCGAAAAGGTTGCGTGTTGATGCGGCTAGCTCGGAGAATGATGATGACTTCCAATCATAGGAAGTTGTGATGGTGGACGCGCAAGGGACGGGGGGGGAGCCAGTGATTGGGTTTTGGGCGGGATGGGGTGTCGATGGATAAACTGGCCGCTATCAAACAAGCCGTCGTTGGTAGTGTCGCCTAGGACACACAAGGCACAAGGGATTGTCATCACAGAGGCGCAGCTGCAGACGCAAGCTGCGGGGGTGGGTGAGGCGACGACCAGCGGCGTTCATGCACCGATCGTCCTGGTCGGTGGGGGAGGCAGACTTGACAAGGCAGTGATCGGGGCAGTCCAGCAGAGTCGCAGAATGCGCGGGGTTCAAGTGTGGCAATAACACCGCCCCCGCAAAAGAAAGTGGACGCAGGCGGCAGTTGAAGGTCGGCGGGAGATCATCACACTTCTGCAAGCGGAGTCGCAAAAGGCGTGGTAGAGGGGAGGGTCGATGACGTGCGCTGTGAAGATGATAAAAAAGATGGATGACGAGAATGCGACGATGACGATGACCGACCCCTTGCCAGCAGGCGGAAGAGAACAGCACAAGAGGTTGATTCTGGAGGAGAGGTCGAAGCTGTAGGTTGATTGCGACACTTTCTGGGGTCAACGCCCCGAAAACCATTGAGGGAGGAGATAGGCGACTGCACGGACTACTTCGTCGCCATCGCCAACGGAGACGCAGGGCCGAACCACCGTCCATACTCATCATGCCGACGAACGATGTGCCACGCTTCAAGATCGACGATCCGACGCAGCGTGAACCGGCTTTGCGCAGAGCGCGCATCGTGGAGAAACTGGTAATGTGCACCATCCACGGGTGGATCTTCAAATCGTCGTCGAGGTCGAATGGCTTCACTCGTGCGGAGTCGTACATCACCGTCAACTGCGCTACCGACGTTGCAGGAGTTTTTTGGCAGGGGCTGGAATGGTCGAGAGTGGTTTCCCCATCCCTCATTTACTACACGCTGCAGATGAAGATGGACGTGCCTCTGTGGTTCGTTGGGGTGAAATTGTGGACAGACCTGCAGATGATGACATGGCGGCACAACAGGAGGCAACAGTTCTTCGTGTGGTGGAGTGCTCGACAGATGCACTTTGGTGTGGTCAATGGGCGAACAGCGGCAGATTGAAACAAGAGAGGTTAACACGGCTTGCAGATTGTCTGAGGGTTTTGTTGAGCGCGTGCATGTGGATCATGCGCATGGATGGCGACAACGATCGCTCACACTATGAGTCGTGATTGTACGCATCACTGACCGTGAAACCCACTCTCATAGCGATGGGATCGTACATCTTCAAGTGGAGGCGACACATCGTCGACAGCACCAACGTTGTGTTGGATCACCTCGGGAAGCCCCACCTCACTCTCGGAGAGTACCCGCATTGCATCCCGGAATGGGTTGATTCCGGGTTGGTGTGCGATCATAATGCCGACCTGAAAAATGCAGCTGAAGCCGCAAAACACGACCAGATCAGCAGAGGTCCTCCAGCGGATGAAGATGGCGGTGACGGCAAGTGACACGCGGGTTCATATGGGAGGGAGAAAGGGAGGGAGGGGGAGAGAGAGAGAGAGAGAGAGAGAGAGAGAGAGAGAGAGAGAGAGAGAGAGAGAGAGAGAGAGAGAGAGAGAGAGAGAGAGAGAGACACAGTTGTGCCCCGCGGAAGGCTGGGCCGCTGGGTAGCATGAAAAACTTGGGTTTACCTCTTCGAGTATGCAATGCAAATCTATGGATTTCATTAAGGAATGTGTGTGTCGAGGACTTTGATCTGTGTGGAATTCTCGTGTCGACTACGGGTGAATGACCATCTCAATGTCGTGCACATATTATCACGTATGGTGGCCGTCACGCACACCACACCGCGGATGTGTTAACATCGCCTCCACCTGACAAAACATAACCCCAAAAAGAATAAATAAAAATTAAAAATCCACAGAAAAAAACACCATAACAAAACGTGCGATGACGATGCTGTTGCTGAAAGGACCGAAATGTGACAAGA